GAGGTACTTAAAAAAAAAAAAAAAAAGACTTTGTTATCTGGAATTGAAAATGTAAAAGAGTCCGTTTTAGGCTACATGCAAGTAGGGGTGCCCTTGGTAGCTCTTCAGTACAGCTCCCCAGGGCTAAGATAGAGTCAGACTTGAGCTTTTCTTTCCATTACTGTTATCTCACCTTTTGTTAACTGATGGAGGATTTAGATGTATTTGTCCCTGGGTATTTGCATTTGAATACTGCAGGGATTCTGAAAGACCCAAAAGCTTTCATAGAACTAAAGAAAAGGGAGCATTTCTAGCAGCTTTTTCTTTTTGCAAAATCAGCCCTGTGTTTCAATAGTTTATAAAGACCTTATATGGTAGAATTTTATCATGACCTCTCAATTCTGTTCTTTGCCTCTCACCTTACATGCCCAAAAGAAATCAGAAAGTTCAGTAACTATTCTCAAACATCCTTAAATCTAACCTAAGTTCAGTATTAGCTTAATACAGCTATTAGTACAGAAATATATTTTGAAAACCATCATTTTAAGAGACAGGATGGGGTGGTCACAGGGGAAGAGGGTGTCAAAATAATTAAGATGTGTTTTATATACAGATCAACTCCCTCCATGAATGTAATCATTGTGTGCTGCAAACATGTACTAATGAAATTAATTAAAAAAAAATTTAGCTTTGTATGTTGTCTGTTGCTTAGCTATTGAAATTGGTAAAGATTCACTTTTCCAGTTCTACTGTGGCTTCCAAGTGAAGCTCAGGCTTTCAATTGAGGACAAGAATAAGGATAGGGAAGACTCTGGAAGATGGAATTAATCATGGTAATAAAATAAAGACCCAGGAATTTAGGTATATGGAAAGTACTTGAGCTCAATGAAACAAAATTAATTTTAATAAACAATTACTATTCAGTGAACTTACATGGGAAAATTATTAGCTGTTTTGGTGGAAACTTTGATCTCCTTGTTCTCATGTATTTTACTGTTTGTCTGTACTCAGTCAGTGAGAGTTCCAAAGATCAGGCCATAGAGTCTATCACTGTTTGAGCAAATTAACTGAAGTCATACAATGATTATAAAGTAAATTCCTAAAACTTAATGGTTAGATAATCTTACCTACATTATATTTAACATCTTTATAGCATGACAAAAACTAAACCGTAATTTTCTGTGTTACCTCCGTTGAAGAGAAATTTTAAAGACTGCAGCAAAAAGATTCCTCAAGTGGAGTCATTAAAAAAAGGAAAAATAGAAGCATTGAAGATGAACGTAATAAATATTGGATACATTAAAAGTCTCTATAGAAAAAAAAAATAAGCTTCACTTTTAGCCTTCTACCTAATTATCCAGGATTACTATTTTGTGCTAATGTTTTAGTTTCATTTCAGAGGGAGACAGACTTAGGAAATTGCTTAAGTTAAACTATTGCTGTGACTTATACTTTGTAACAGCTTCCTGGTGCCCCACATAGCCGCAACATCATGAAGAGAAACAGGCCACAAAGATTAGGATCAGAATAATCTTTAAAGGGTGGTGTGAAGATAACCAAACGGATATATATGTCACATCAGTTTTCAAAATCTCATAATGTGTTTGCATCTGTTCATTCAGTAAAATAGCATAGTTATGTTTGAGAAATAGCACATTAGAATTTCAGGTTTTTTAGATACTCATTTTTCCGTTGCAGACAGGGGGTATACTTTAACACTTATTAATTGCAAAGTTGTTGCATTATTTGTAAAAAGGCTGATAAGCTCCTTTACAGATGTACGAAAATGAAGTGGAATTTGAAATTTAGATGTATTATGCTGAGTGTGCTTGTGTAAATTCAAAGAATAAATCTAAAACTTGCTTTGGGAAGCACATTTCACTAGCTACAATATGTTCAGAGGTTTGGGCCAAGCGAGTTTTATTTCTGACTCATTTGCTCATTGAGCTTCCTTTAGTCCTCTGTGCCAATCCAGAACCTGGCAGGACTGTTCAGAGGACTGTTCTGAGCTACATGGCTAGCGGGAGTCCTTCTGCTCTAGGCCCTAATCCCACCTTCCTCTGGGCAGGTGTACCCAGTACACCCTTCACCACATTTAGAGTCATGGAGAGTTTTCGTGCTGTATTGAAATGAAAATTCATCATTAATTTGAAAACATATCCTTTATACCTCTCTCATACATCCCTTATTGTGACTTTTATGATTAGTCTTCTTGTCACATCTGCAAGTGTCAAAGATTCTCCAACATTTGAAAGGATAAAGCTGTCCAAGTACCTGGAACAGAACACGTGGCTTGGAATTCAGGAACATTGTCCATCTCGGTGCTTCTTTGCAAACAAGGCTAATCTTTCAAATAACTGTCACCTATGGACATCTAGTTTGGTTTATAAGTAGCGTAGGGCAGGGGTCAATGCAGTGGTGACAGTCATACATGATTTACTGCCTGGTTTCATAAGCACAGCCAATTTTTTTTTTAATGGTCAGAAAAATTCAAAAGGAGAGTAGTAATGTGGGAAACATGCAAACCATTTAGCAATCAAATTTCATTGTCACTACATGAAGTTTTATTGGGAAACAACCACATTCATTAGCATATACATTGCCAAAACCTGCTCTTTTGCACTACTTGGCAGAATGGAACAACAGCCACAAAGAAATCTGAAGTCCCCAAGGCCAGAAATATTTACTGTCTGGCCCTTTACAGAAAATATTTGCCAATCCTGATACAGATGATAGTCTGACTTTTGGATAAATAGGAGCATAAGGTTTCTATCCACTCACTTCCACAGAACCCAAGATCACTGATGGTCAATAGCAAATGCAAAATATGAATCCTCACTAAATTGTGAAGAAGCTGGTGCTTCCCTTATTGCTGTTGCTTCAGTCTGTGAGAAAACAATGGGGATCAGAAAAACAAAAGTACGACCGTGGCTGTTATTCTGACAGTGGATACCACGAGAGATGCACAGGTTTCCCAGAGTGAGGTCTGGCCTCCGTGCCCAGGGTGTTTTCCCCTCATGATTCCTCCAGTCTGCATCCTGCTGAATTTGAAGGAGGGTGTCTGCAGGGCGATAATAACATTTCCACATGGCCAGGAAGAAGTGCCAATATTCAAACGGAGTTCTCCAATAAAAGATAAAGGATCCTGTCAATGACTGGTGCAGGTGTTGCTGTAACATTTTTATTGGGTAGAGATAAAAAGCACTTAAAAAAATAAAGAAAGGAATGAAAGATTACAAAGAAACTAGAAAGAATATTTTTGAGCAGGCCACCTTCCTTTCTCAGTTAAAGTTATCTAGGGAGTAGAATGTATACTTAAAGACCTTGAAATCCATATGATAAGGCAACCATTTGGCTGCAAATGGCCACTTGAGAATTTTGGAAAATACCGAATTTTATTCATGCAGAACAGGTATGTGTGTGTGTGTGTGTGTGTGTGTGTGTGTGTTATGCTTGTAAATGGTAGCATGCCATTAAAAATGTGTCTCCTCTTCCAAGTGCTCTTCGCTCTATAAATCTACTCAGTGAGTATGTGCTGAGAAAAGTGGCAGGAAGTAGCACCCTCCCTAAAGCAGACACTTTGAAAAAGCTTGACCTCATCAGAATTTCACCAGCCATGACCTTTCTGTCCTTACTGTGAGTGTTGCTATGAAAAACAATGACCTTTCATCCTGTGTGTTATCCTGATCTTCATCAAAGCGAAGTTGCTGCCCCAAAGGTTATCATTTTCCACTGAAGAAACTGTGTCATCTGAGAAAAGCCTTGTATGACTCAATTATTCAGGTAATGGGTGTTGAATAAACACCTGTCAGCGTGTTATGATAAGTGTGGCAGCAAATTCAGAAACTCATTTAAATATGATCCTTTAAGGCATTTAGAGCTGAATGGCCAGGACAGAGTTCACACATACGCACCAGCGATAAGAGCTTAAGCCAAGGATAACAAAAGTTCAGAGAAGATATCAATCATTTTGAGGAAAGAGAAAATGGGATTGGAAGCACACATTGGACGAGTATGTACTTTTGAAAATTGGGGCAAGGGAAAGAAGTAGATGTTCCTAGTGAGTGGAGTAGATTAAATGAAAGCAAGAAGCAGGACTTCTGTGATGACTCAAGGACTACAGAAGGACTTGGGTATATGTATGTATGTATGTATGTATGTATGTTCATATAAATACATAGGAGCTTTCCAGAGGTATGTATTGTGTATCCCAATAACTGTGTTGAGGAAAGAATAAATAATGACTGAGGAAATAGAATGCAGTAGGAATTCAATGGAGGATTTGGAGACAGAATATGGAAATGTTTGCTGTGATTCAGGCCAAAAAGTAATGGAGTATAAATTACTTATGAGTATGAGTAGCATGACTGGAGAGGAAGGCTGAGGCCAATGAATACATCACAAAGGAAAGAAGAAACAATACTAAAAGAGGCATCAAATACAAATTCCATAGTGTGATAGTTACAAAGGGAACGGATCTGGAGGAATGGGCATGGTATCCTCTCTGGAATACTGAGTGTGAAGGGTGGAGGGGATATGCAGTGGAGGCAGCCCTCAAAGCTTTGGGAGATCTATAGCTAGCTTTCATTAGTTGTCAAGATTGGAGACACAGATTTAGACACTTGGAATTAACTACATCTTTTCATATATGGACCTACTGATGAAGAAAAGAAGAGCAAGAAATCAAAGATAAGACCTCAGCAATCCTTATGTTTACTGAGTGTGGGACGGGAAAGATATTTTAAAAGCAAGGAATGAGTTATATTATCCACATAAACTAATGGAGTAATGTCAAGGGGGTGGTCAAGAGAAAAGTACACTGTTTAAGGAAAGAGAACAGAGATAAGCCTTAGAGGCATTCATAGCATTTCAAAGTACAGTTCCAGTTGAGGATCGAGATAAAAACCCAGCTGCCCCAGCTGTACCTTAGAATAACTTTGTACCCCATGGAAATAATATCTACTAAAGTTTATTTAAATGTTTCATATGATGGTTTTTATTTTTTGTTTACCTCTCTCTAGGAATTTATCTTATTTTGCTACACAAAGTAGCCCATCTGCTGTCATTCTGAACCTGTGGGAAGCTCGTCATCAGCACGATGGTGACCTTGACTCCCTGGCCTGTGCCCTTGAAGAAATTGGAAGGACACATACGAAACTCTCGAACATTACAGAATCACAGCTTGATGAAGCCGACTTCAACTACAGCAGGCAAAATGGACTCTAGTTTCCTTCCTCTCATGAGGCAGAGGCATGGCCAGCTTTGAGACATTGCTTTAAATGGGAAAGAGGCAGCTTTCTACCCAGTGGCACTTGGGGAATTCAGCCTTTATGATCAGTGAGGTTCCTTGGTTGAAGAAACTGAAAGTTGTATATGTGAAAGATGTTAGTAGGGAAAAGTCCAAGTTCTTCTAGACACAGGAGAGCTGTACTGTCTCCTTTGAGTCCACACACAGGTGAACAATAGATGCCATCCTCAGATTTGGCATGGCAAGGATAGAGGTGAGGGCATATCTACACTGAAGTAGTTATGGGAAGAGTCGAGCTGTGGTAAAGCTAGGAGGCAAAGACTGTTTAAGTGCATGTTCTGAAACAGGTTTTTAATGATATGCCCCATAGGACCAGCTGATTCTGGTACCAGATTGTCAGAGCTTTTCTACTAACTGGCATCTATGAATTTGGAAATCATTGTAAGACTGGTTTTTATGATGAAACAGGGTTGCCAATCCTATATGAGGCATTTGTATGGCTTTACCATTGTTAAGGAGGGCATACAGAATTCAGAATCTCAATCTATCACACCAGCACCAATTTCCTGCCTGTACTAGCCACTTCCTAGAGATGAGACTGAAAAGTAAGATAGACCACAAACTAGTTTGCGTGCTGTGCCTCACTTTCATTTTTCCCCATTTCTTTTCATCTTCCTTTACCCAGTGGAATAGAATGGGTTAAAGGAAGATAATTAAATCTTTTGATATGAAAATGTATTCCATCTGACTCAACAAGAGCATCTCTATTCCCAAATAAGCCACTCAAATTGCGGAGTGCTATTAGAGCACAGCTTAGTACATTTATATGGAGACAGCAAAAGTCTAGCTAAGTCAAAGGGTACATGTGAGCTGCAGATGTCACAGTCCTTAAATAAGCAGTCACTCTGAGAGACAGACATCAATCAGTGCAAGGGCAGTTTTGTGATAAGCGAATGAGCTTTCCTGTGCTTTCCAACCCAAATTCTAGAAATTTTCCAACTTTTCAGTGTTATGTCATCACCAAACCTCTTCACAGGTCTCTAAGTCATCTTCCCTTTGCTTCATGGAGAATTAGCAGATAGTCTTTGCTACAAGTGACACCTGAATAAACAGACCTAAGGAATACATCTGCCATAGTGTCTTAAGAGCCATACTCATTCTGCAGGAGCCTTAAGATCTGGTGGCTCACCTCCATCATATAGTATTCTCTATACAATTACTAATATGTGGCTATCACTTTATAATTCTTTTTTAAAGGAGCAGCCAGTAATACTATAAAGAATAAATATACTGAGAATTCACAACACTCACCTTAATAGTTGACTCTATCTTTATGTCCTATTGAATTATTTTTGACAAAGTATCCTGCTAGACTAAAGATGAACAGATATAATGCTACTACTCATCATCTGGTAGTGTCCTGTCTGTAATCAGGATAACCAAAGTCATGAACTGAGATTAATAACCACAAGGCAGCTCATGAGCTACTTTGAGGTTGGCTACGTTAGAATAGGATAAAGTAGGCAGGGAGTGAAGGAAATAAGGAATTTGACTATGGGCATATAATCAATTTTTTAACACCCAGTTTTTAGATCTCTTACTTAAAAATTAAGTATTGTGGATCTCATCTCAAGAGGTGATAGACCTGATGATAGGTTGAATTCATGGAACCATGGGTAAACATTGAAGAAATCTTCAATGCATTGGCCATTTTCTCTAACTAATGTGTGGTATTTGTGTTCCCCTGTATTAGATATAAGGCTTTGCTATACATAACTCAAAATCATTTGTTTTTCTCAGGAACCAAAGGCTTATTACATAGGACAAATCATCTTAAATCCATTGAGCACATTTTCAAAATATCAAAATGCGTAGGTCAGGAAAACACCTTTTTGCCAATGTGCTCCACTTGTTTATTTTCTTCTGGGGAAGGACTCATAGAGAGCATTAAAATGGAAATCATTCTTCTCTTATTAATTTGACTTTGGAGAGAGATGAACCTGGACAGTCAGTTGCAATACACTAGAGAGTGGACTGGCGGGTGGCGCAGGGAGAGCCTGCATTGATCTGCTGAGGAATGACCTATGTAACGCACGTGGAGCTTATGTTAACTTACACCTTGGAGGATTTGTTTTCAATCATCTTGCACTTTTTCCCTCTTCCGTTCTAATTGGCCTAATAACTGTTTCATCTATCCTGTGAATCCACACAAGTCCTTTGTAGATTTTTTTTTAAATAATGTTTTAAAAGAGTTGAAATTTAAGTGATTTCCCTTGGAACCTCTCTAGATTATTTTAAAATGAGATGAGATTGTGGTTAATACCTGAATGTCTGAAATTTCCTCCACTTGGGGGCTTCTTTTTTTGGCCCAGATTTATCTACACCCTTGAAGATCATATTACATATAGTAACAAAGGGCAACATTAATATGATTCACCTCCGATTTCAGCCCACATTTCATTCCAATTCGTTTTTTTCCTTTATATTTCTTCAGCTATTATACTACGTAGGATTTCTGCATTAATGTATGAAACTCTGTGGTCATTGAATGTTATGGATGGTGCTTTACAGTAGAATTTCAAAGAGAATCCAGGGTTGTGAGATTTATAGACTAAGGTATGTTTGTGGAGCAAAAGTATTGCAGGTCAACAAAGCCTCACTTGAACTCTTGGTTATTTACTGTGACCCAAAGCTTTTTCTATGATACTTATCTGTCAGAACACAAATACCTCTCTTGAAAGATACTCATTATTCTAGGCACTTAATTTGGAAGTCTGATGGTCTGAGTACAAAATGAAACAAAAATTAAAATGGACCTAAATACATTGAAGGTTAATGTTTTTTCAAAACATCCCACTTAATGCCAGTCTGTCAGTGATTGCAGACATTTAAGTCTAACAGTCATGCTCTAACCATGACTGAAAATTGTGCCACAAAAATGTTGTAATTCATAGCTTCACCACACTACAGCATCATAAAGTTAATTTACAGTCTTTACAGTGTTGCTTGTACAGCCTTATTGGTTTACATTAGAATCCTTTAAGCCAAAAGGAAGCTCACAGTATAGATTTAAATGCAAACTTCATTTACCAGTGCAAGAAGTCTCATAAAATTCAGAGGTACTCCCACAAAAAAATTTATTTGCCTTTTTGTAAAAGATGAAAAAGAATTGGCACTGTTCTCTTTAAAGGGGAAACTTTTATCTATTTTTATTCTGACTATAGAGGGCCTCCTTCCTAATGATCCCTGTATTTTTCTTTCAGTTGGCTTTAAGAGGGAATGTTAGGTCAAATCACTAAAACAAGATTATTTTTTGATTAAAAGTCCTGGATTCACTGCAGTTATTTTGCTTGACAAAAATTCTCGACACCGGGAGTAATAAACAAAGGTAGATAGTGATGTGTTTTACTAGGATTTGATAATGTTTCTCTACTTGCCAACTTGTGGCAAATTTACCAGTGAATTTCATAATGTTATAAAATCCCTGAAATGCATTTGCTTTCCTTTTACCATTTTCTCTTCAACTTCTCGGCCTCTCTGGCCTCTGTGAACGTGTTGAATGATCTGTCAGATGTGCTGCAGGTGATGTTCTCTGAGGTCTCCATTTCAGGTCTGCAAAGGTCACAGGAAGCAGGAAGTTGCTGAGCTACGTGCCTGTCTGGCCCGTTGCGTGGCCCACTTTCATTCTGTTTCCTGATGAAACACTGCGTGGTTCGAATCTTTAGTAGCTCCCCATTGCCCGGACTCGAGGCGATAGCCACAGCAAATGGGAGCACAAAATGCTGGCCTGCAGATGGTGAAAACACTTTCTTAGCCTTTTGGTGTTGTTGCCATAGCGCCGTATTTGAAAATTGATGCTTTAGCCAAAAGCTGAATGGCCACCGTTTCTGTAGTTTCCACTGTTTTGTCTACATAGACTTTTTCCTGAACTACAAGCAAAAATGTATTTTGTCAAATGTCACAAAAGTGAAAATGTTACTAATCTTAGACGTGTTGCATATTTTGTGTTTTTCCTTTCCAAACTCTTTCAAAAGCTGCAGTTACAAAGCTGTTTGGCTGTATTGACAGCATGTGGTGTTTTCTGCAAAAGCAGTTCTAGGAGAGCCAGCGTCTCTCACGGACTCCTCCAATCCCCACTCCAGGGTCATCAACAGGATTGAAATGGCGATTTAGAATGCTGTCACTTTGCAAAAGACAGAAGGGGATGGAAACTAGACCTGGCTGTTAGTCACTAGTGTGTAGTACTGTGATCTGAAGTAGGAAATTTAACTCACATAGAATAATTGTGGTTTTTGAAGCAGCTACTCATTGCTTTTTCCTTTTGCTGTTAAGATCATGGATTCGGAATGTCCTCATGAGGTGGGCGCCTGAGACAGTAACATTTAAACTTCATGTCTTGGAACCTACCCCCAACTGAACCCAAAGATCAAAAAGGCAGTAAGCTTCATGTTTAGGCCTAAGCTTAGAAATTTCCTTCCCTATCCCTACTATTATGTTCAGTGGGGATTATGCCTTTTTTTTCCAGAAGTTTATAGTTTTGATTACAAACTATGTCACTGAAATTGGTAATACAGTTCTTTGTATGAATGGAAATACATATAAAATTATTTTGCAAAAGACCTGATTACAATGAAGATGCCTTTGTCTCATATTTTGCTAATTATACAGAAACACTTCATTTACTTCAAACATTGACACCCAGATTCCAAAAGTGACCAATATTTTCAATTTCCTGAAAACTTAGTATTAATGGCGTTAGAAATTCAATCGTGTTTCTGGTGAATCATCGCAGGAGAGGTGTTATTTGTAAGGCATGGTAAGTACAATATCATGCCTTAGGATTGACTCACTTTGCTAAAAAACGCAGACATCCCAGTAAGAATTGGATCAAATCATTCTAATAAGGCTCCATTCGCCAGTTCAGATAGTGCTGAGAGGGAGATCATGGGATGCAGCCACTTAGCCTCATCCTAGTGAAACTGGAAACTGCCCTTCAGAAGCATCAAGGCTCATCCCGATGCACCAGGCTCCACTCAGCACTTCTCTTCCAGGAGGTGGGGAAGCACTCAGGCTGCCGGGATGTTCTGGCCAGGAGCCCAGCTTTCCACTTTCATACATTGGAAGTTTTGATTCTTCATAGTTTTAGCTGATTGACATGTGCACTCCAACCCTGACCTGGAAATCTTTCAAATGTAAGCAGGTAAAAGAAAGCTGGCTTCTTGTCATTGTCCAAATTAGAAGCAAAGCAAAACAAAAAGACATGAGTTGTTGTTTACCTCCATTTCTGTATGGAAGAATTTAAAACAGATTTTATTTTGTTCTGTTTATTTTGGGGAAGGTACATGGGGGTGTTCTTGCAAGTGATTCATATCTCCAACCCATACCACTCTCAACTTTTATTTGATGTGTTCAAAGCCAAAATAAAAGAGTACAATTTGAACAGTGGGGCTGAACACTAAATTTGACATGAAGCTGAAGGGGTGAGCGAGCCAGAGGAGAGAGTTTGAATAAAGCATGGCCTTGGCTTCATACCACACTTTTTGTGCCTTGTATTATCAATGTAAATTCTGAATGTTGTATAGTAAACTTGGATGGACTTCTTAGAGAAGGCTGCACTGGCTTCTTTTCAGCACATGTACAGATCTATAAATATATATACATATATATTTGGTAATGCCAAACAGTTGTGTTATATTGTACTGAACAAAATGGACAGTTGGATGTTTTATGTAGTTTAAAAAAAAACTGGATGGTTACAGACTTTTCAAGATAAATGTACAGACATAAATTACTGCATATCAGTTATTTATGAATAAAGAGTCTTTTATTGACATTTTAGGATACTCCACGAGTGGGACTTTGAAATCTCAGGGAGGATCCCTCGCTCTTTGTGTGCCTCCTACCACATGCAGGCAAAGTTGGGATGTTCTCTAGAGGGATACTTTCCAATTTCCTGGTGACCTGTTGAGCTTGGCCGCTTACTCTGGCCCTGAGGATGAGACGATATGAGCTTACCATAAACAAAGACATTATTTCCCAGTACATGCTCTTGCCCTTTCCTTCAGATACCATTCTATTTTCTTGTGGGTAAGCATGGCAACACCATCGCCGTAACTTGGAAACTTTTCATCTTACTCTTCAAGTTATTTTTATGGACTGTAAAGACCATTTTCTGCCTCTCCATGGGAAAATATTAAGAAGATAATCACAATGTCATACATTTTACACACATTCTGACTGACCAAATCTATTTTAAGTGTGTTTTAAAATGCTGAGGGCTCCCAAGAATTTAATTACAAGAACTTAGAGAACTGGCTTGATTCGGTTTAAACAATGGGATAAAATGATATTTGATTCATTTCAACTACTAGCTAATTTTTTGAAAGGTCAAAGTACTTTTCCAAAGTATTTTTTAAACAAAATACTATTTTTAAGCAAAAATAGGTTTAGTTTTATGTTCCAAATTAAATTTGGGCAGCTATGAGGTAAATTGAAACAATTCTCTTGAGCTCGGAAAAGCTTTATGTGTGTCATGGAGTGAACGCGTATAGTAAGGGCTGGGCTATAGCGCAGTGACACAGTGCCTGCATGGCAAATGCAAGGGCTTGAGTTCTATTCCCAGTACCAAAACCAAAAAAGAATATAGTATATATCTAAAAAGGGAGCATTTCCTGAACTTCTTTGACCTTGTTATTCCTGTCCTTGCATCTTCTTATGGAGTGACTTAGGACAGAAATGAGTATCCATCCACATCCATGCACAAAGTGGCTGTGATTCTACTTACTTTGGCCAACCACTTTAAACTAGGCAGAGTCTTTAAGCTGACTAAAATATGCATTTAAGCTAATAAAAGGAGGATTGGTTTCAGTTACCTTGAACTACATAGATCAGTTATGATAAGACTAAAACAAGCCCCAAGTTTCAGTATATTCACATAATTAAATAAATTCAATTTGCATTGGTCAAAGCAAACTTCTCTAGAACAACAACTAGCACAAAGATTCAGATATATTTAATTCATTCCGATGAAAATTTAACAGCTTAGGTTTAATCTATAATAATGCCTACAAAGTAAGATTTTAAAAATATTTCATTAAAAATGCTTTACCTAGTTAAGAAATAATTTTGAATGTGTTCACTTATTTTAGGCTCATTTATGCTTATTCTATGCAGTAAACATGTGTAGGTATGTGATTTCAATGTGACAGGAGTTTACTTACTCAAAAAATATTTAGCTTTCACTGTGAGATCACAGAGTTAGGTTCAAAACCTGGGCCTGTCATTTAACACTTAAAATTAGGCAAGATACATATCTGTCTCATGTATAACGTAGAAATAACAATTTTTCATCTTGCTGGAAATCTGAAGAATAAATAAAAACATATAATCCCTTTAGCGCACTACATGAAACTAGGAAACAATCACTGGATTTTCTCTTTTATGTCATTGTAGAGAAGTAATTAGCAGGAAGTTTGAGGGCAGACAAGCTTTAGTAATCCTGAGTCTGCCACTTTCTGGATGTGTGAATTTGTCCAAGAAACTGTTTATATTTAAAGGAAGATAATTATATGCAGTTTGATGGGCATTAAGTAAATGCTCACAATTCTAATATGCAACCACATTTCTAGCTGTCTCTGGCTAGTTCTGGCTTTGCACAGAGGCATCCTACAACAAGGATGGTGAGCCTTTTATTGCTTTCAATGAAAGCAAATAGCTAGCTTAGGCACACATGCCACAGGCTCAACACTACTGTCTAGAAAATTTATTATAGTAAGGTTATGAGGAGACCAGTCATGTATTCCAATGTTAGCACGTTTCCTATAACTGAAAGTCATTTAAGAAAAATGTGGGGCCAGGGAGGTAGCTCAGTAGAATAAGTGCTTACCTAGCAAGCGCAAGGGCCTGGTTCTGCCAAAAGAAAAAAAAAAAAGAAAAGAAAAATTTATTTCTAACCTTGAAATACAAGAAATGAAATTTATTTTCAACTGTGTATATTAATGCTTAATACCATGAGATTAAAAAATTCTCATTATTTTAGGAGAGAAATAGATAGCTGATGAGACAATGATGTATTTAAATAATATCACTAACACCAACATATTCAAATAATGGAGTTATACACAATAAGTGCTCATTGAATGGGCTGACCATTTTCTAGCTTTCACAGGACATGAGGACCTTAAAATTATGAATGTGTGCACAAATTCAACATAAAAGACTTAACCTGAGCCCTACTCATTACCTGCTATGTGGCAGACTTCTCTGTTATAAGTAGACATTCATACATAATGCCCTTGGTAATTATTGAAAATGACATGGACCCAGCCTTCAAGAGGCTCATTGTCTGTGAGCCAAGATATTTTGTACCATACAAAAACAAGTATTATAAAAGAGCCAAAGCCAGAGCATTAATGGAGGTCAAAAGAGAAACACCAACCTGATTATGTTGTGTGAGGGACAGTCACATGGAGAAGTTACCATGGAAGTAAGAATTACAAATGATCTATGAATAGAGCTATTTCTATAACAACACTGTGTGACATACTCCATAATTTATGGCTTAATATAACCGTTTATTATTCTTATGAATGTACAGGTCCTGCCAATATAAGCCTAACTAGTGCTACAGCTGAACTCATTGGCCTGTCTACAGGAGCCAAAGCATGAGGCAGCTACGTCCTGCAGATCAGGCTCCTAACGTGTCTGGGCCCTTCATGAAGACAATGAGTTGATGCTGCTCTGCTGCTCATGCCTCGCAGTCAGAGCTGTTAGGCCGGGCACGGCAAAGGCTGAGGAAGGGAAGTCTGCAATCTTCTGAAGGCCTGCCTTGGGACACTGTCTTCTCTGCCATAGTCAGAGAGCCACAGAACTCATAGGAGGTGTTCACTTAAGAAGTACAGAAACAGAATTCACTTGAAGGGAATTACTGCAGAATCACATTGCAAACTCACATTGCAAGGATAAGAGTGTTAGAAGGAGGTAGAAAATTTAGGTCATGGCTTTTAATTTAAAAATTGTCCAAAGTAGAAAAAGAATATTCAAATAGAACAGTTAGCATTGGTAAATGCATTAATAAACATTTTATCCAGGACAGGCTGTCATACTTTTTTTTTTTATGACTCTAGTGCTTATGGCCTCCTGAGCCTTCTACAGTAGCACATCCCAAACTCCTTTGCTGTGTTGCTAGGTGCTGGCCTCATGATTAAGAACATTAGGGAAACAGTGAGTCAATCTCACTTATGGAGGTTTCTGCATTGAGAGATCTCTCAAAGGTCATAACATGGTAATTATTATTTGAATGCATCCCATATGCTGAGCACATTAGGTGGATTTCATCTTTTGCTCCCTTTGCAGTCATGAAGTTAACATTGTTATTGTTCATATTTTGTAAGTAGGGAAACTGAGGAAAGAGAAGTTAGGCTAATATACATGGTAATCACTCACTCATGGCTATTGCTAGCAGCATTTTTCTCACATACATATCACCTATTACTTAATGAAAATATAGTAACATCTCAAAGTCACACTTCACTTTTGGGGATTTATTTTTCTAAAGATGCACAAGAGACAATTTTTACTTACCATTCTAAATTAAATTTGTCTTGACAGTCTTCAATTTCTGTTTGTGAATCAATTCTCCCACCCCACCCCCACCCCCACTTCTTTGCACTTGGCAGAATTCCACATCTCTAAATATCAAACCCATAACAGCTTTTTGTTTTTTATTTATTTATTTATTTATTTATTTTTTGTATTTTAGTACAGGGTCTACAGGGTCTCACTACACAGATCAGACTCATAGTGTCCTCCTATTTTCAGTCTCCCAAGCACTGGGATTACAGGCACATGTAGCCACACCCAGTCTCAGCCAACGTCTCAGCATACCCCAAGGGTGGGGCTGGCACAGCCCACCAGGTATTGAACCCTGGTCCCTACACCTGCCTAAGCAAGCACTTCAGTCCACTGAGCTATTTGCCCAGCCCAATAACAACCTTTTAAACATTAATTTTTACCTGTAAATTCTTGACCATGTTTCTCTGCAATTTGTTAGAAATACACCCTTAAAACTGATTGGAATGAGTCAAAGTCTGATAAACATTATAAAGACAACCTTTAAAAAAAATTGGAGGCACAGTCATACAACTGACATGTCCAATAACCTTAGTCTCTAAGCTCAGAGTAAAATTCACCTTATCTTTGTTCCAGGTAATTCTGGCTCTCCAGCCATCAAGGTGCTATGTGGTTAAATGGAGAGAATTCTGGCTAAGATAAGAGGACTTGGTTCCTACCCTCACTCTCAGGCCGGGGATACAGATAGTTCATTTTCCTTTTTGAATCTCAAGTTTCCCCACCAGTAAAACCAAAGTTGCTAACACTTTGACCCTGTTCTCATGTTAGGCTATGGAAGGTATAGTCAAATATGGTAGGTGAAAAGAAAGC